CTTTATAGTAGTGAGGTATCGAAAATCGAACTGGTGTATTTAAGTGTTTTACACTCACAAAAAAAGAAACCTATCATTCTAGAATCTAGAGGTATTTGAAGAACTTGTAACATTTCGCTACAATTTAATTCTTCGTATTGTTAGCAGACACTGGGCAACTTGTACATAATTGAATAAACAGAGTTGTTTAAACATTTGTTTATTTATTCAAACCGAATCTAAATTATTGCAATGTAAATTAAATGTAAAGTGACAATGAGGGCAAACTTAGCGGATATGCTGAAACGTCTGAATGCGTGTTCACAAAGTTACGAACATATGGTTTTGAACGAATCGTGCATGCGTATTTTAGACTTAAATAAGTCAGAAAAGCCCACATCAATTGCATTTAGTGTGATGTTCATTTTTTAAAGAAATTACATAGGATTAAGTGTAGTTTGTGTGAAATACTTTGCAAAAAAAAAATTGAAATCGAAGCCAGTCGTCACGTGATGGCAACGTGTAGCATACTCGTTGCATTAAAAAATTGACTAGGCAAAAAACAGGTAAGGTGATTCTGAATGGAAATGCCAATATGCAATCTAAACTTCTCGGACAAAAGCCTTTCTAACGACACCCGATTTGTAGCGTTTAACCAAGAAATTTGCGAGAAAAGTTCCTAACAGTCAAACGCAAGCGTATTATTTGCATAGATTACCAATATCGTTTCAACTCAGAAATAAAGAAAAATTACAGGCAACTTTTAAGTGAATGACTACTTCGTATTTTCGGTCACACATGAAACTTGTGACAAACAAAAGATGCCAATTTTAAGAAACATCCCTCCATTTATCTATCTGTTTATACTGGTAATAGAACGATACATAATAAAAACCCAATGTATCATCTAGAGGAACGATAATGACTTTACACATGTTAGAAGGTGGACTAATACTACCGTGACTCTTTATACAAGACCGAACTTTTGGACAAATCTGCAGTATTGCCACAACTGTTCCTAATGTTTGACAGCCACTATTCTTTTTCTGAACAGATCTAATCAGCAGCTTTATATCTGTTTCAGGTTAAGAAGTTAAGGTTTCAGGTTTCAAGTTAAAAATAGTAAAATTGTTTTTCTTCTTCTTGAAGTGACAAAACATACAGTTGGTTTATCACAGAGCTACACAATAATATATTTGCGGTCTGTCCACTACAAGGAATTGAACCCATTTTTAGCATTGTAAAACTATAAACTTACTGCCGACCCATTGGGGGAATCAATCAATCTAGCATGGTAGGAGTTTAGGTTAAAAGTATATTTCGGGGAATGAAATATAACCAGGGGCGGTCAGAAACTTCTGTTTCTCTTCACCCCGCTACATAATTAGAATATAGTCGCCGAAACTTTTAAGAATTAAATGCTTACGTGAGTGAAAGTTTAACAGTTAATATTCCTAATGACGAATTCACAAGCCGTGGAGGATAAAAGATAAACACAGTTATAAAGCTTTTAGTAAAGGAGACTGCACAAAACAAAATTCAACTGATAGATATCAATCTGAACTAGGGATTGTTGATATCTATATTACATATTTTAATATTTTTTATAAATACTTTAAAATTTTAATGGTGAATTGCTCTCTACATCCACTAGGCTGGTAACTTAAGGGTCTGGGGGCAAATGGAAAACCTGACATGAGGAAATGGTAATGGTTTAAAATGGTGCAACTGTATCGATATTCTTAGAATCCCAGTTCAGGTGAAATGTTATTTTGAATTCATTTTGAAATATGTCATATTAAGATGTATTATATCTCTTATGGATTAAGAGAATAAATATTCAAAAGTTCTAAAATAATACTGCTGTTTTTATTATTTCTCTTCTTGTTCTTTCCCAGTGTGAAAATCAGAATGATTAAATGTTCAAGTTTTAATCAAGATAAAAATATCTAATAATTTTGTATGGGAAGCATTCAACATTTTTAAGCATGAAAAAAAATTGCAGATTGCCTCAAAGAGCTAGTAAATAAGCAAAAACTATTAGTTTCCATTGATAATATGTAAATTATTGTTCCATGAAAGTGAACTTTAACCTCTCTAACACCCGTAAAGTAAAAGGTATGATATTGATTGTCAAAACAAAACATTTTACATGTACAAAAAAACAGCCAAGCTAAAATAAAGATGTCGGCCAATAAAAGTTATATAAAAAACAAAACAATGAGCCAGGTTATTATATAAAATTACAAGACAAAATGCCAAACACTGTCAAAATGTCATTCTGTACCACAACAAATACATATTGACTGTGGTTGTCACGTGCCTTGCTGATTTGCATATTTAAATTAATTTTAATATAAAGTAGTCAACCCTATGCACAATACTGTTAAGACATTAATAAAGATGCTGAAGAATTGAAAGAAAATCAACTTTAAGCTTACAGGAATATTATACTTAACATCCAAATATAAACTTTGGAAAATGAGCAAAAATATTTCAGGAACATACCCTTTAGTTTTTTTTTTACACATAACCAAACAATTTTTATTTTAAATTTCAAATGTCATTTAAAAATGATAAACGTTGTCATTATTCACTGTTCAGATCAATTGCTGTCAATGAAAGGTTTTAACATTCATTACATAAAAATCTCATCATGAGAGGAAGCTTTCATTATAGCTACTTTATAGAAGGGGTTAAATGCAATAGAACTTTGGTCATTATTTAGTATTTTCAACCTAAATGATATCATATGCAACATATGGAATAAACTAAGAGATCAGAGACCCCCTAAGATTCAGGCGTAGCCATTCCTAATATAAAACTGCTGTTCAGAATGAGGGCAACCAGTCATCAATATCCCTGCTTATGTAGCAATTCTCAATCAAATAAAATTAGTTGTTATTATAGTTATAATATACCTACAGCTGAAATTGTGGAGCATATTCAGTAGCACATTATGGTTTTCAAACCATTGATCTTCTGATCCACAGCCAAGCGCACTACCTACCACTAGGCTTACGTATACACATCCATTGTTTATCTCATAGCATTTTCACAGTGCAAGTAATGTACAAATGTTAACCACATTTATTTCACTTATGTATATACAAAAGTATTTGTTTAACTTACATTTTTCACATTAGCTTTCAAAAATTTCCTAACACAACCTTGAACAACTTAGTCACTTTTTCAATTCCATCTTAAATATGAAAATGTGTATGTACAATCTTCTCTTACTTGACTTAGAAAATCTAACAGATCTCAAATCCCTGAATTAATACTCACAGGAATTTCAATCTGCAAGTAAATTATGAAAACAAAAGCACAGGCAGCTTGTGAAGGTTGATCTTTTTCTTAAATAAAAATCTAAAAGAATCCATACATATATATATATATATATATATATGTATTACACCATTCATTCTTTTGTTATCTACAGTTAACTTACAAGATGTAATAAAGCCATTTTCTAAAACAAACTAAGGAATACTAGATGTTGTTACATTGCTAAAAGCCTCATGGTACATATTTTCACATGTAAAAAAATCAATTCAATGACACACTTTATTTTAATACCAGATGATATGGACTGACGTAACACTGCTGACACTACTGATAAAAGGTCATCAGATTGACTCTTCTGATATTAAAATAAAATAATTTTATAGATACTTAGTTTTGACTTTACCTTAGTTAATACTATTCCTTAACTTTCTTTTCTTCTTGTTTAATTAACATTCTGTTAGTCTTCTTTGTTATAATCCCTCAAAACTTAAAGCACACTATTGATGTTGGATTACATGAATAGCATATTGTTGTTATTACAAAGATTATAGTTCTGATTTCATTATTTAACTGGCACATAACATTGAAGTAGCAATAGGAAAGCAGTTGTGACTACAATAATATTTATAATCCAAATAAAAGTAAAAATAAGTAAAAACAAGTATAATTTATGTTTTACTTTTAATTTTAGAATATTCCAACATACTGAAAGTATTTTCTTTTCATGTTAAAGTTTTTTTTTAATTGTCACTTCTTTAGCATATTTCTAGTTTTGGCTCTTACTCCACATCAGATAGTGGAACATTGATGGTTGATTGAAAAGACAAACAAATTGCGAGCTAAATTGTGTATTTAACATATTTTAACAAAAACAAATTTGGAAAGTTTATTTACTACTTTATAGGGAAACTAAACAGTTTAAATAACATTTGGAGGTGGATGGGATATACACATATATTCTTTAATAACTACATCCATTCCACTTTAACATCTAAATTATTTTCTTGCACATATCTCTGACACCATTCAAAGTCTATCCTAGTGACATTTGTGCTCCAATAGGATTTTAGATCTTGAAGTTTGCTCTCTACTTTAAGAAGTCTTCCCAGAGTTTCCCCAGTGATAGAGACACAGTGATCAAAATGTACATGTGTCAAACTTTTCAATGGATTATACTCCATTACAATTGCTAAAATTTCATCTGTAAGACTTTGACTAAAGGACACTTTCAAGTCTTCAAGTTCTAAACAAGAATATAGCAAAACAGGCCATCCAACAAGAGGCACGTCACCATTTTCTTCCAATACTAAATCAAGAGTCTTTAAGTGACATAAGGGACGAGGGTTACTGAAGATTGAAATTTCATGGTTTGATGCAGAACATTTAATTTCTTTCACCATAAATAATTTAAAAGCTTTTAAATTACAACAAAGACTGCCTATTAAAGCCAAGTCAATCACTGGTACTTCACCCAATTCCAAAAATGTTAACTGAAAGCCCTTTACTTGTAAAAATGACTCCAGTTCTTCTTCAAGAACAGATGTACCAGAATCAGACCCTACTAAAAGTAACTCCCTGAGGTTTTGAAACTGGCCAATCAGAGGTAAAGCACTGTTCTCAAGCTCCACATGAACAATGGTTACTTTTGTGACAAAAGGACACATCTGAATAGCAATGTGTAGGACATCTGTTTGAAGAAACTCCTCAAAGGGGTATTCAACTGAGAGGGCAGTGAGTTTAAATGCATCTGGTAGAGTTAAGTTAAGACTTTGTCTTTGTTCATGTAATTCTGCTACTGAACCAAATGTGTTGGAAAAGTTTAGAAGATCAAGAGCTGGTATGTAGTGAAGCAAACATGAAACACCTGCTGTTGTAATATTTGTTCCAAGAACATGTATCTTGGTTAGTCTCAGCTGTCGAGGTGATCTCTTCTCTAGATCGCTCATAGTCAGGCACATGCTGGTCAGTCCAATGTCAGATACAGGACAATTAGTGATGTCCAGTTCTCTAAGGTTTGGACAGTGTTCTCCAATACATCCTAACATTGTATTACTGGTGTTGGTGTTCTGTAGGTTTAAGATAATCAAGTGTGGAAAGCTGTTTGGGATTTGAAGAAGTGCAGATTTCTGAATATTGAGACATCCATTTAAGTTTAAATTAAAGATATTCTGAAAGATACAAAAGAAACAATTTATCAGCAAACCACTCCATAATTTATCTGTTGATAAAATAATCCTCAGTTCTAAAACACCGAATAAAACATTAAAAAATAATACAGGTTTTTCAAGTAAAAATTATTGAAATATATCTATTTTCAATATTATTTATATCGCACATTTCAAATAAAATTCAAAACAAAACAGCTTATAATTACTTTACAGCAACATCCCAAAATATAAAGGGGGGGGGGGTGAATGCACTGTTGAAAATCTTTACAAAACAGATGGGAAGTGTTAGAAAAATCACAATGTTTATTCTTTTAACTTTTTGCATATTCACATCTGATTGTCAAATCAAATAATATATTGTTTCCTATGCTTTCTTTAATACATGTGCATAGACAACAAAAGATTTAGACTTTACATAAAGTTCACTGAGTATACAAAAGTTTGCAGTATCATGGCCCTGTGTCTTCTGGAGTAATATCTTTATAATATTAAGAATGCAAAAATATTCCCACTATCTTCCAGTAGCTTTTAACTATATATCAGCTCTTTTTTTTAAATTTCATGGAAAACTTAAACACACTTAAGTTTTTATCACTTTGCATTCCCTTTGCTACACAGTTTTAGGTCATAATGTTCATGAATCCTCCTTTATTAAATATTAAGAGACTGACGAAATAAAGAACCTGTATTTAGAGACGTTTAGTTTTTTTATTATCTAATATTTAGTTACTGATTATATGTGAATATGAAAAATATTATAGTTTACAAACCACACACAAAAATAATACACAAAAGAAATTCACATAACAGAATATAAAAAACTGTCAGTACAACATTTGAAAAATACCAGTTATTTATAAGTGCTTTATTTCAAACTTTATGTCAGTCTGCAAGATATACTACTGCATAAAAAATTGTATGTTTGTGTAGCACAAAAAACTGTGCCTTTTCATCACAAAAGTACTTAAAACTGTATGAATATTGTACGTAGGAATATCAAAAATTAAACAATGAGAGAAAAATTTATGTAGCTAGTTGTGAATTAATAAGAGGTCAAATGAATCATTACAGAAGATTCAGAGGCTTGCAACAATTACAATAAACAACATAATGCAGTGTGATCTGACAACAGCATTTTATCAAATATTTTATAATAATTCAATGAACCTCTTATAAAAATCAAGTTTCCTTCTTTGTTTTTTATGGAAGAAGAAGGATATCTACAAAGAAATAGTGTAATTACATATAAAAATTGTGTATTATTATTATTATGTTTAAATACTTAACCAGTACTGTACACAAATATTTATGTACATTTGAACCTCTGTAGTTATTAAATCAAATTCTGTTCATTAAGTTTGGCATTTCTTTAAATAACACTCGTTTTTCTATCTACAGTATAATTGTTTTGTTAATGAAGTATTATCAACACTGTGAAATAATCATAGTTTTTTTTTTTTAATGAAAGCAAACACTTACTAAACATTTCTTTCCTGCAGACAATAATACATTTCCTACATCTCCTTTCCATCCACTTAAATCCAGATTCCGTACAAGGGAATTTAATAAAATCTCAAGATGATGTTTCTTTAGACACCAACTTTCTTTCAATTTGATGATTAAAGCTTCAATTACTTGTCCAGCTTAATAAATAAAAAACAATGAATTAACACTGAGTTATGTCTGTTCTAGATATCACTACAAAGCAAGACTCGAAAGCTTTAGCATTTTCATATTGACCTCTTTATCATTTTGAAGAAGAAAATACTCCCCAAAAATACTTTAGTTTCTGGTACTTTTTGTAGTTTTTACATTTACAAAGAAACTGTTAACTTTTATCATGTATTTTTTTATTGTTTTGAAAATAGTAAAACACATGAATAACAAGAAAATTGATTAAAAACCAAACACATTTTTAAAAACAAAATTTCACTTTCAATATAGCTATACAGTCCAAGAATGGTGATTTTATCCCCTCGGGCAATTATGGAAACAACCATGGCTTGTAAATTAAGAAGTTCAGGTTCCTAGCCCAAACAGTTCCCAATGTATACCAAGCCACAAATATAGCACATGAGCTGAAGATGAGGTTTAGTCAAGTATCTGTCATAGACATGTGACTGTTAGCATAAACTAAAGCTGGGTGTATAAAGATTTCATGGTGATTTGTTCTGTACTTTTAACAAATCTGAAAAAAAAGAGAAAGAAATGAAATTTAGCTCTTAATTCCACAACTTGGGCTGATGGAACATGCAAGTAATAAAACTGTTCTACATTACATGCAACATTTGTGCCATTTGTGCAACTCATGCTCTACATGGTCAGAATGTATCTTACTCTCTTGAATGTTGCAAAAATGTCAGTTTCAATGACCATATGTTTTCTCCATGTAGGAAGGACAACCTATAAAATAATGTTAACATCATTTCAAAGCTTGTTTCATTTTGAAAGAACTGTAATATAGCTAGTTAGGAGAAAGATTCTCTATCATTTAGACTGCAAGGTCTTATTATTATCACTTAGACATGTTCCTAAACTTTATGGTCTGAGAAAAACACTTGTAATTTATGACAGACAATTTTGCCGACTCAAAATGATAACTAGAAAACTGCAGGTTAGTGTTGCAGTTTTTGTAATAAAACTGAGATATACCTGTGATACATGCATTTAGTCATTAATACGACAAGATTCTGCATACAGAAAATTACTATAATTGTGACTTAATATACTGTTTCACTCTATCTTGTCAAAATTTCATCCTCTAATGAGCTGCATGGCATAATCAGGCTAAAGTTATTACGAAATGGAGTTATTTTTTCAATTAATTTGATTGTTTGTCAAGGCAATTCATATTTAAGCCAGCCTACGCAGTGCAACTTTGTTGGGAGCATGGTTAGAAATACTGTGCTCAAATGAATGCTTATTGGAGGTAATAATAAAATGGAAATTGTAAAGATCTGATGTTGTGTTTTTTCCACTTTTCTCTTAATTTGTCCATGACTACCACATATTTTAGGTCTATTGGCTTCTGAAGCTTCACCACATTTATCTCATAATTTTTGATAATAAAATACTTTTCCAGTATAAGATGTCTATCAGGCTAAAGTAAATACGTTTTATTATAAACATTACATATATTGTTCTAATAAATTAAGTTCTATATAATTAAAGATAAACTTTATTACTTTAGTGTGAAAACAAATTAGTGGTAAAATTATATAATTAGTTCTTAAATGTTAAGACTTAACAGTAACAGTGTCAACAATAAGCTACTGGTAATTGGTATTGAGTATTTATTATTTTCACTTTCAGGCTATAACAGTATAAATACAATGGTTAAGACTAGCGTAGGAGTTAAGCATTTGCAGTTTGTTAGCTGTAATGGGTGCAAGGAGTGGGTTTTAGTTGGGAACTCGGGACTGGAATGTACTTTTAAAGAAGCTAGTAATGAAGCTGTACAATTTTTATGTAGAGTTTGTAGGTTGGAGGAGAAATTAGAGGCAATCATGATTAAAGTAGAGGCAATAGATAAAGAGAAGTGTAGATTGTGGGAAATGGCAGCAGGATTTCAGAAGCAACATAAGCTTTCACATGCAAGGAATACATCAGCTAACAATGACTTTAAGGAAGTTAGAAAGAGTACTGTTAGAGCTAAAAGTGGAGAATTTAGTTATAATGAGCCTATTCTGTTGAGAAACAAATTTCAGCCCTTGGCTTCTGCAGCTGGGGAACTATTGGAGGGAAGAAAAACAAAAGGATCGGAGAAAGATGTGGATGATAAGGAGGTTATAGTTATAGGTGATTCCTTGATAAGGCATGTGGATATAATATTCTGTGGGGAAAATAAGGAGAAAAGAATCAGAGCACAGGCGGAGGATATAACTGACAGAGCAAGAGAAATAACAAAAGGGGCTAGCAGAGATGCAGTTTTTGTAGTGCATGTAGGGGCTAATGATGTAGGGAAAGGTAGGTCAGAGGAGCTAATTAATAAGTATAAGGGGTTGATAAAGGCACTTAAATAAAATGGCCATAACTTAATTTTGTCAGGGATACTGCCTAGAATTAACTGTGGGGATGAAGTTATAAGTAGGTCATTAGGGCTAAATGCTAGGCTTAGGTCAATAATGGGAATAACTGAAACATGGTTAAACATAGATGATTTTGATGACAGAAATTTTTTGAAATACAGGGTCACGGGGTATTTAATAGGAATAGAGTATTAAAGAAGGGAGGAGGAGTGGCTTGAAGTGGAGGATATCAAAGATAATAGCAATAAGATTGAACCCATTTGGGTTTCTATTAGTGGATATAAAGGGAACAGGCTTTTAGTGGGAATATGTTACAGACCACCAAATGATGCTGATGAAATTAGTGAGAAACTTTACAATGAGATTAAGATTTTGGCTGTTAATGAAGTCAGAATTGTGGGTGATTTTAATTTCAGGCATATAGATTGGGAAATTCTAGAATCAAACCATGAGGGAAAAAGTTTTTGGAAACTGTTCAGGATGGCTTTCTTCACCATTTAGTCAGTGAACCAACTAGAAACAATGACATTTTAGGCTTATTGTTAACTTCAAATACAGAAATGATTGAGAGGGTGAAAATTGGGAAACATCTGGGTGCAAGTGACCATTGCTCTATTAGGTTCAATGTTTTGCTGCATATGGAGATAAGGAATAATGATATTTTGGTTACAAATTTTGAAGGGATGCAACAAGAGTTATGTGTTGTGAATTGGGCAGCTGAGTTATATGGAAACACTGATCAAATGTGGAAAATTTTTAAAGATAAATTTTTAAATATTCAATGTAAATATATTCCTAATAGGAAAAAAAGGGTAGCTACAAGTAAAAATCCAGATTGGCTCACAAAGAGTTTAAGAAATAAAATTAAATTAAAAGCATCATAAATTTAAGAAATTTAAATTGTCCGGCATGACAGGAGACTTAAAAGATTATAGAAGATCAATAAAGTTGGTGAAACATGAAATTAGGACATCAAAAAGGATGTATGAGAAAAAGTTGGCTGAAAATGTAAAAATTAGCAGTAAGGATTTCTTTAAATACATTAAGGGGGCAACAAGATGTTAGAATAGGGATAGGACCCTTGAGGGATGATAAAGGAAGGCTTGTAACTAATGATTATGAGATGGCTGGGTTATTAAATTTTACTTTTTCTTTGGTTTTTACTAATGACGATTTAAACAGTATTCCACATTTTTATCAG